TGTATCGAAGCAAACAAACAGCTCAATCAAAAAAATATAGATTATCAGATTGGTAAAAAACGTTCTCGATCATATGGTTTGATAGTTGCAGTACATAATCTGTTCACAGAATTTAGAATTCTACAAAATCCTACGTAGTGATATCACCAAATATTCAATGAAGAGAACAGAATAAAACGGTTTGATAGTGAAGCAAAATCACCTACTGATTACATCACTAATTCTATAGTTAGGAACAGTCTAGAAGTAATCATATGAGTATTTAATATTAGGACGCAAGACACAGTATACTTGTTGTGTTATAAAAAGTGACAAAAACCATATAAGTGAAAACCTACACATTCGCTTTCACAATTTTTACATCGCAACATGGTGTTGTATTTTCTTTCAAAAAGAGAAAAAAAGGTGATATATTTGTCTTTCATTTTGTACACATAAGAAAAGGTTAATTATGCTTTAACTGAGAAAATGGTTATACATACAAAAAAAATGAAATTTTTAAAGGTGAATAACGCCAAGAATGAAAAAAATCGGGTATATATTTACTTTGTCATGATGATTTTTCTAGTTTAAAAGTCCTTTTAATTTTCTTTTTTTTATTAATCCTTTTTACTGTCGCAAAAGAATTGGCAAGAGTGACACAAAACATGACAAATAAAAATCAACAAAAAACAAACACCATAGCAGCATTGAAAACAACGAATACTATTTAAATGTGAAATTTTTTGTCAGTATTTGTTTCTATTCTAGATTATCATCAACTCGAGTCATACCAATGCAGCAGGGTTTAATATTTATATACACTATGATTACCATCATGGTAATTCGTGTATTTGGACAAGATTTGAGCGTTAGTATAGCACCAACACTCAGTCAATACAGTGACAAACAAGATGTGGAAGTTATTCTTAATTATAAAAATCAAGGTTCAAAAAAAGTTTTAATTTATAAATGGTATTTTCCCGATCAACAATTATTTGATCCATTATTTGAAATGACTCGAGATGGTAAGCGTATTGCATATATTGGTCCAGTTGTTAAACGACGTACACCTATTGCTGAAGATATGGTTTCTCTTGAATCTGGTAAAAGTATAAGTACTCGCATTCAACTCTCTTCAGTATATAACATGACTGAAACTGGTAATTATGCAATTCGATTCAACGTAAGTATTGGTCCAATGTTAAGTACGTCGAGTCGTTTACTACAAATTGGATCCGATGTCATAAGCGACTCTACATTAGTATCACCATCTGCAACACTGTTTGCTATTGGCCGATCGAATGCATTGATTACAGAAAGTGCCAAAGTTACTACACAAGGGAAATCACTCATACCCTCTTATTATAAGTGTTCGACCACTCAACAAACTATGATTAGCGCTGCCATCAAATCAGCAGCAAGTTATTCGTTGAGCTCTGTTCAATACCTGTCGTTAGTGAGTTCATCCGGAACAACACGCTATACAACATGGTTTGGTACATATTCTTCCAGTAACTTGGCAACTTTAAAAACACAATACAATCGTATTAATGATGTATTTAATACAAAGTCTATGTCATTTGATTGTACATGTACGGAGGAAAACACATATGCTTATGTCTATCCAAGTATACCTTATAAGATACATCTTTGTCCTGCATTTTGGTCAGCACCAACGACTGGTACAGATACGAAAGGTGGAACACTTGTTCATGAAACTTCACATTTCACTGCTGTTGCTGGAACTAGCGATTATGCTTATGGTCAAAGCGCCTGTAAAACTTTGGCCAAGAGCAACCCAACAAAAGCACTCGGCAATGCCGACAGCCATGAATATTTCTCCGAAAACAATCCAAAATTATTATAATAGTTCATACTACAAACTTCTGAATTTTTAAATCTTTCTTTGTATTCCTCATTTAGTTTCACCAAATAAATCAACTTTTTCACTGCAAACATATATGAATCCTTTTTAAAACAACTTTTATTTTAATAGATGCAATTATGATTTCTTAAGAAGGATCAAATGGCGTCATATGATCCTTTTAATTATTTTATGTCATTGAAGGTGAAGAGATGTAAGAATGGTCACATTTATATCAGCGAGAAATTCACCACAGCAGGGCTTTTTGAAACTGTTGTATTTTAGTGATTATTTTGATGACAATTACTCCACGTTGGAATTTTTTTTTCGATTCTGTCGTCTAAAGACATAAAATTAGATTTTCTGTCTTTAATTATAAGTAAGTTGATAATTTTTTCCAAACAAGATGTATAAATCATTTACAATTGATCAAAATAGAGCTGAAACCCTAAGATAATTCATATATCTACACTCACATCTCTTTAAGAAAGAGTATTTCTTTTGCTTTCATCGAGAGTTTGAAATAAAATGAATTATGTCTAGACAAAAATTCTTGTTTTGATTGTAGTCATTCTAATCATCTCTAGCTAATATCTGATGGCATACAATAATCTTTCTACAAATGTCGAATGGGTGTGACAATCAAACTTGGACCCATTTTCAACAACTGAGTCAGAAGAATGGAGTAATTACTCAGAAGAAGCATATAATAATAGAGAACGTTATGCATATTTGACGAATTATACCATTGATTTGAAAAAACGTGTACAAATTTTAAATAGAGATCCTACAAAAAGAAGACCTGTGAAACGAGAAGAATATTCAAAAGGTAATAAAATATTTGTAATTCTCTCATTCTTTATATAAAATTAATTTTGTTAGAGACATGGCTTGAGCAAACAAAAAAACTTGGTAACGGTGGTTTCGAAACAGTATACAAAATAAATATTCTTAAAACTTTGTATCATCCAAATATTGTTTGGTATATTGATGTTATTCATGCATCATGACATACATTATTAGTTATGGAACTTATAGATGGAGGCACTTTATATGAATATATCAGACAAACATCTTATTCATCCAATTATTGCAACAATTGTCAAAAAATGATGATTGATGTATCTTATACAATGACTTATTTACATGAAAAAAATATTGTTCATGCTGATTTAAAATCTGATACTATTTTATTAAGAACAAATGGTATTGCAGTTCTTTCTGATTTTGGTCGCTCGAAAATAATCAAAGATTCTACAATGCAACATAATCATAACGATAAAGGTAGAATATGCAAGAAACTAATTAATACTATCATTTATATTCATTGTAGGAGCTATTAGATGGCTTGCACCAGAACTTTGTAAGAATCATCCAGAAAGATGTTCATTTATGTCCGATGTTTGGGCTTAAGGATGTGTTTTACTAGAAATAATAACAAAGAAACTTCCTTGGGATAAATTATATAAGAGAAATGATGAAGTTAAAATTCTCCGTGCTTGTTGTACATGGTCAAAAAAGGATCGACCAGATATCACTAAAATTATTAAAGATCTTCATTATACAGTAAACAATGATCATCAAATTCAAAATAAACAAAATGTAGTCACTTTATATAAAATGGAAATGTCTCATATTGAACGACAACCTTCTACTCGAATTCCTCCTCAAACTTCTCTACAAAAAAACAAAGCATTATATGATTCTGAAGACTAGGGATTATATTTATCAACTCAATCATCAAAACAGATATACACATCATATGGAAATGTTAATGACGATTTTTTAATTAATACCAAACAGTATGAGATCCACTTTCATACCTTTGTAGTTCTTCCACTTAAACATAAAAATTTAATTTTTTTTCAATTTCTAAAAAAAATATTATCTAACATTTTTTGAGTTAGAGCGAACTATCTTCAAGAAATGTTAATTTTAATGTTCATCAATATAATAAGTAACACGTAAATTAAAGTGAATTTATTAGAAGAAAATAACACTTTCCAAGCGGAGAATGAAACTGTACCAGACATTTACTTCGAATTATCTTCGCTATGTGAGTTGTGACTGCAAGCTTGTAAGATAGCGCGTACAAAAGCTGTACCTCCATCCGATGCATGTTCCAAGAAAAGATTCGGTTCGATAAGTTCTACTTCGATAATACATAAATGTCCTGTTCTTGTATTACGAATGATATCAATACGTGCATAGACAGGAATCTCGGGACAAGCGGCAATAGCAGCATGAACTAATTCTAACATTTCTGTTGAAATTTCTTTTAATGCGGTAGTTACTCCACCATGTTCGAATTGTACACGATAATCATCAGGTTGAGTATTACTTCTAACAGCATGACTCACTTTTCCATTGAAAACAAATACAGACATTTCACCTTCTTGAACGACACTTGACATAAATGGTTGTATCATCATCATAGAATCAATTGCATCTAAACGAATCAATTCAGCGATAGCATCAGAAGTACTTAAAGATTCTAAAAAAAAAGAAATTCAATTAATGACAAATATACGTTGATTTTACTTGGTGCACGAGCGAAGTCATTACTGCCTACTAGAACACGTATTGTATTGAAACTACAAGTAGATATTTGTGGTTTAACCATTAAATCAGATGTATTGAAATATGCTGCAGTATCCATTAGAATTTTTTCATCGATATGTTCGACATATAATGTTGGAATAATTGGAATACCAGCGTTCTTTAAATCTTGTAAATATGTTTTACGAGTATTCCATAAAAGAAGTGATGGAGAATTAAATAATTTGATTTCTTTTGGCCAATTACGAAGCCATGAATTCCATCGATCTGGATAGTAATGATATCCCCATGCAAGATTAGCGATGTATATGAAAGATTGAGAAGTATCAGATGATAGAGGTGTTGTCATCCATGGTGCTGCAATCGCACGAACACCAAACTCTTTAAATTTCGATGCCAATTGATCAAAAGAAAATTGCCAAAATTCAGCAAACATTGGATCATTTAATTCAGGTGTTAGAATAACTACGACAGGAGTTTCCGTCATTGGTGACGATGAAATAGTTCTTGCTCTAATCAAATAATTCAGTTATCAAAACAATAAAGTAAATACTTACCCCTCTTCTAACTGATGATCAGTTTTTTGAGAGTCAACCGGAGTATTCATATCTGAAAATATGTTACATGGAAAAATGACATTCAAAATTCGTATGAATTTCGTTACGCCTGTGCTGCTTTTGTAATTGCAACAAAAATGTGTCATAACACAACGTCATAGCCTTTCGCAATTGCGATGCAATCGTTAAAAAAGTGGTTATATGTGTGTAGAAAAAGCAGAAAAAATTCGTTTTTTTTCAAAGATAAGAGATAATATCGTCACTAATGAAAAAATCATATGCGGTTTGTAAATAGAGAACGTCAAAAAACTCGTTGCATTCTTTTTATTTTTCAATCGTATATTAACATTTGAAAACGGTTGATAAAATTTGCTCGATATCATATAAATAACTATATTATTCTTTTGAAATTAGAAGAAGTGTGAGTCATTTTAGAATAAATTTTCATAGAAATAAAATCGAGATCTTCGGCTTTTACCATTTTTTAAAAAGACACGATGAAAGTGTATTGAACTTTATGTAGAAATACATGTTTGATGTATAAAATATCTTCTCGTTTTCCTTCTCTCTTATTTGCACGATTATCATGATATATATATTTCATTAAATATTCAGATATTTTATATTTCATTAAATATTCA